TTAAAAAGAGGAGTAGCATTTTCTGTAAAGCCAATTTTTATGGAGATTTAAAGCCGCTCGCACCATATATATATATTTTTTAATAAAGTTGACAGAAAAAGTATAATACGTATTGTATATATTTTAAGATATTTACGCATGGCCTCACCTCAACATTTTTTTTTACGCCAAATAAATAATTTGCGAATTAGTTAAGTTGTATGACTTTAAACACGTGAAATACAAGGTCAAAGTTCTTTCATAGGGTTTTGGATTTTGCCATTTTTATAGTGGTTTAGAATTTTTTCAGAAAGTGCATGACGATAAGTATAATGTTACGTAGAACCTTGCATACACTATTTAGAAAAATTTTACTTTTTATTTTTTATAAATACTAACCCTACTAGATACGTAAGTATGTACTAGTTTAGAACCGATTTTATTTTCCTTATATTAAACCCGGCTTTGCCATAAGAAAAATAAAACCAGGTTCAAACTCTAGTACCCACATATTTATACGTACTATATACTGTATACGTATTTTGGTTTAGTTTAATTTCTCAGATGTATAAAATTGACTAGAACGATCGAAAGGTGTTAATACGTAGCTTTAATAACGTAATCATATGGAATTTTGGTTGTGATTATGCCACTAAATCGAAATATAATAAATTAAATAAATAAATATATATATATATATTATGATGTGACTTCGGCTTATTCCTTCAGTCATCCTATTGATTTTCCTAAAATTTAAAAGTCAGAGAGCTTGACACAGACTTGAATTTTATAAATTTAGTTGAGAATAAATGTCATGATTTCGTCATAAATATCATATACTAGTTTTACTTATTTAGTTAATGCGTAATATCTATATACATTGTTTTCTATAAAAGACCTGTTTGTTGCCTGTTCTGTCTTTTGATTTTCGCAAAAAAAAATATTCATACCATCGAAAAGAAAAAATTCATAATATAATAAAAATGTCGGGAATAAATCCATCCGTCGACCGCGTATCTAAGACCACTCCTGTAAATACAGATGCTGTTGGTACACCAACTGCTACCGATAAATATGATAACTCGCGTCATTTAAACTATGGTCAAACGGAAAATCAAAAGAAAACGGACGTCTCAAAGTCTAAAAAAAATCATGAAAAGAAGGAGGAAGAAAGGTAAATATTAAATGAAAAATTAATCATACGTGTATTTCCTATCTGAATTAATTCACATTCTCAAATTTGTATCTAGTTCTTTTAGACCTGAACTTGATCGTAGATACGCTTCGAGTTCAGATTCTGCACCAACATTGCACCGTACGTTTTTTGAAGAGTTTCTGGGTGGTGTTACTGGTGATGATATTATTGAACATGAAGAAAAAAAGGAAAAAGAAAGAAAAAAGAGAGAAAAAGAAAGAAAAAAGACTATTTAAAGAGTTTATTATTACAATTTTATTTCTTTCAATCTTTTGTGAAATTTATTTCTGTTTTCCAAAATCAATATTTTAACGTCAAAAAAAACTTTAGCATAAAATTATATTGTATGAATTTATTTGTCATGTAAATAATGAATAATAAATAAATATACCTGCGTGCTTCCTGCTAGCACTACTTATACTTTTCAAATAATTCAGTGAATTAAAGAAATTAAAAGATTTATTGTGGCCAATGTATTAATAGCGAAAGCAAAATTTATACCTAAAAAGGTGATAGTGGTAGTGATACGTAGTAATACACCTGTAATACACATATCGATCGATACAGTATCAATATCAATAAAAATCAAAAGAAGTTCATTCAACCAATTTTAGTAACGGTGAATTATAATTGTCTTTTACTACGTATCCACTATCATTATCATTATATTCGCAATGTTAATAAAAAAGTAAAAATTTTTAAAGAATTGAATTCCGAGTTCTTACTGCGGTATCATCATTATGAGATTCAGCTTGTATTACCATTCGATGATAAAAAGATACATTGTTCGCATCTCGGATTAAACAATGAAATCATTTAATATAAACATTTTTATATCTTTTATATAAAAGAATAATAAAATATGTCATGCACACACTGTGGCGAGAATAGAATAGAATACGATTCCGCTGCGGGACATGCCTTTTGCCCAAAATGTGGTTATGTAAGGATCTTTTATCGTGTTTTTTTTAATGTATTAAGGAATAAGGACGAAGCTAACTAAATTTTTCGCGATTGAAAGGTCGTCGAAGAAAGTAAGATTGTTGCTGAAGTCACATTCGGAGAAAGCGCGTCGGGCGCTGCTATCCTGCAAGGGGCATATGTTGGTGCTGACCAAAGTAAAGCACTCTCAATTTTAAAGTAATTTGCACATTCATTTAATAATTTCAACAATAAATTTTTATTAAACGTTATTATCTTTGTATCTTTGTAGGACGTGCGAGAACTGCCGGTCCCTATAGAAGGCATTCTAGTTTAGATTCAAGAGAACAAACTATCGCTAACGGTATCAAAAATTATATCATACTTATAACTTGTTAGTAAACGTTCGAAATTTCGTTAACATGTTATCGCCTTGGTAATTAGGGAGACGTCAAATTCAAGCACTTGCTACTGCTCTGCGTCTCTCAGATCATTTAATGGAAGCTGCACAACGATACTTTAATCTCGCGATTACTAATAATTTCATTCAAGGTCGAAAGACTCAACATGTCATTGCAGCTTGTCTATACATTGTATGTCGTACTGAAAAAACATGTCATATGTTGATTGATTTTTCCGACATTCTGCAAGTAAGATTATGTATTTTAAGATATTTTTTATTATAATATGTATACATTGATTCAAGTTTTATTTTTTTCTTGATTTTAGGTTAATGTCTTTACACTTGGTTCAACTTTCTTAAAATTGGTGAATACGCTTCACCTTGTACTTCCGTTGATCGATCCGTCCATATATATTACAAGATTTGCTTCTATGTTGGAATTTGGTGAAGAAACAGGCCGTGTTGCTAATGATGCTGCTAGGCTTTGTCAACGCATGGAACGCGATTGGATGCAAACAGGTAGACGGCCCGCAGGAATTTGTGGTGCATGCAAGTATTAATAAATATCTTTTATCATTTTATTGTTCGCAAACTTTCATTTTACCTTTTATTCCAATTTTTAACTTTTTGTAGGTTTACTCATTGCTGCTCGATTTTTCGATGACGTGATTATTCATATTTTATTTTATTTTTTTTTTAAAAAAATAGGTTGTTTACGAACAA